GTGTTCGCGGGTCCTGTCCGTGCCATAGAAACTCCGATTTGCTAGAAAGAGGAGGTCTTTTGTGCCCGCACAGCGTATTGTGTTACTTTTCAGCGCAATTGCAGAGACAGTGCCGAGAAGTAAAATTGGTCTTATCCTAAGTAGTCCGCCTCGGTGGAACAGTGGCTAGGGTACTTGGCTGCTGACCCAAAGGTAGCGGGTTCGATCCCGGCTGTGACGGTCGCATTTTGATGGAGGCGAAATGGCAGAGCCCCGTGTACTGTGCGATGTCGGTTTTCGTTAAAGAACACCAGGGGGTCAAAATTTCCGTAGCCCTCCACTACGACGTCCCTCATAATCATCTGGTGGTTTTGGGACGTAAAATCCCAGATTAAAATTATTATTATTATTAATATTTTTCTTCTTATTATTATCCTTGTTTGTGCAGTGATAATTTGGTTAATATATCACATGCGTCTTTTTTGTGCGGACGGATGCCTGGCTCACCGAGACTGGTTTGCCCGCTTTCGTTTTAACGAATGTCATAACTTGCCTTTCACAAGTGCTCTGCTCTTTGCTTTGTTTACCTTGATGTAAAAGGTTGAAGTGCCTCACACTTGCGCATATCATTTCTACTTGATCCTAGTATTTAGGAGCAGGCCTTTACGTTAACAAAATCTCAGCATGGCTAACAAAATATATCTGCGTGTTGTTCGCTAACTTTGCTTCGATGTCATAGCTTTGTGCCTCGCTTTTATACATGCGGTGAGTGTCAAGCTTTCTCTTTTGGAATTCGGGGCGTAATAGAGTAGAAAATATTAGTGTCGGGAAAAAAGCGCAAAGTGGTTAATGTGGCAGGTGTGGCAGTTAGTGGGCCTTAATTCAGTGTCCGTGTGACACAAAGGAAAGCGTGTTTTTGCTCTTGTTTGTTTACTTACTCCGAACAAGTGGAGCAGAAAGGTTTTACTGAACATATGATTTGAAGTTTCAGTCCGGATGCTTTTTCGTTTACGTGTGTACAATAGAAGACAACTTTCACGACATGAGTGTCAATAACTGGGTACAAAATGAGAAACTTCATACGCTGTGACAGGCCCATGTGTTAAAAACCGTGCTTATCAGGTGGTACTCGAGGTTTACGCTGGAAATATTTTTTCCAACTCTGGTGACAAAATGAATATGCTTACGGAGGAGTTCGCAAGAATAACAACAGTAACAACAACAAAAAACAAAGAAATGATAGAAAAAAAAAGTGTTTTCGCACTCTGCATAATCTTGCTGTGCTTTTTTTACTAGCGAACAAGCACACACTTGCCACACACAAAAAAAAAAAAGTTCTCTCAACAATGCCTTTTTCTTGTACTATTCGCAAGTGCTTTGAGAACAGACGTATATAGTGTTTAATTGTAGTTTAACGTGGCCTTACAGCATCATCATCACCACCCTGTGCTGCTCACAAATACTTGAGTATGTACAGTACAGCGTATACAAATAATACATTACAGTTCAGCAAAAACATCGTAGGCGACATCCGTCGGTCCACATGGGGCAGAACAGAAGCACTTTAGCCTCAGTGGCCTATGACTGGGCTGAAATGTGTGACGTCGGATGCTGGCGCAGAACAACTTGTGTACGGGATGCACGGAGTCAGCTTTTCTTTCACGTGTTCGCGCGGAGAGCGTCACCGAGCCAAGGTCACCATTTTGCGCATGCATCGCTGCAGCACGCAGTGTACTGCGATGAAAGCCAGGCGGGCATAGCGTGCGTCGACGCCTAGCCGGTAGCACGGTTATAATGCGTTCTCATGCCTTGCTCCGACTGGGGAATATCAAAGCAAACGCACGAGAAACCTTTCCCCAACTATATACATGGTTCGGGGGATCGGACGATGTCGGAGAAGACAGGAAGAGGTATACGAGGAGGTGCAAGCAGAGCCAGTGCTGAACGAGTTATATATAAACTACAGGAAAAACATAAGTCGCGCTTCTACTAACTGTTGAGCATTATTACGAACAGAAAAAAATTGTAGGAAAAAATCGGCAAGTCTAGGAGGACAGAAACTTGTCAGAAACTTCTGATATATTGAAACTTTCCTGAAGAGCACAACACTCTATCGTTCTTTCTATTAACAATCGATAATTTACGCTGACTGTGTCGTAGAAGCTACGTTAAAATATCTTCATGGAGAACAAAAAAAATCGTATTGATCGTCCCACTTGAATGAAGATTAAATCTTGCGATTCAGTATGGTGTAAAGGTTCAAGTGGGAAGGAAAATCGGCAGATCGCGCCCGATATGGTTCACATACCCGTGGATGGATAGATGAATGGATGAACTTTATTTGGTCCTTCGGAACGTGCTTTAGCACGTTGCGGGCTGCTCCTACGTCGGAACAGAAAGATCAAGTCTCTCTGCCACGTCGCGGGCCCGCTGGACTGCCCATAGCTGTTGTTCAAGTCCGGAGCTTGCACTAGCACCCTCCCATTTGGACGGCGTGATGACTTCCCTACAGCCTAATGCGGGGCACAGCCAGAGCTTATGTTCCAAGGTAGCTATATCGTGGCAGTAGGAACATGTATTGGTTGGCTGTATTTCGGGAAAAATTTCGTTCAATAGCGCGGTATTAGGGTACGCCCCGACATGAAGAAGCCTGAGTGTCAGATCCTGAGGTCTGCTTAGTTATCTGTGCGGTGGAGGGTATTGTCTCCGCGCCATGTAAAAATATTTTGTCATTTCATTATACTAGGTGGGAGGGTCGCGGTTCTCCTAGAGTTACTGCGTATGCCAACTTTTAAGTAGCTTATTCAGCAACCTTTACCTTTAAGGTAAAGGTAGCACACATACAGTAACTCTATAGGTTCTCCAAAACATCAGTGCCACGCCCTCCGATTGCTACGCGGTTTACTAGTCCTCGTGCAGCTATGTGGGCTGACTCGTTGAGATTGGGCGGGGCTCCCTCAATGCGTCCCATATGAGCTAGAAACCAAACAAGCGTGTGTGGCTCGATGTCTTTGTCCCGAAGAATTCCCAAAGCTAGTTCCGATATTGTGCAATTGGAAAATATCGCTGATCTCGTGTCGCTGTAAATTGTGGACCTCTTATCCAGCAAGGCCAACGCAACTGCCATTTGCTCTGCTATTTCAGCCACCGTCGTCCGGACCATGGTCGAGTTGGTGATACCACCCTCGTGGTTAGTGCTCACTGCTGAATACGCTTTCCCCTCGGGATATTGGGCCGCATCGACGAAGGAGCGGTCCCCGGCATGTTCTTAAGCCCTTTGTAGCACAGCCTTTGCCCTGGCCCGTCTTCTACCCTCGTTATGCTCGGGGTGAACATTTCGCGGGATGGTGACAACGATGATTTGGTCTCGTTGTTGACGAGGAATGCTGTAGAAGTGAGACTTGATTTCCATCGGTGCAACACTTGACGCGTCCATCCGAACATGGACGCTCACAGCTCACAAGCCTGGCCACGAGAAGAAAACCATCGGAGATTCGAATGAGGTGAAAGATTGGTACTGGATGTTGTAAAGCGTTTGCAAAGCTTAAGGTCAATTTTGGGCAGTGTAAAACCAGATCAATGAAAAGCTAGAACTCTCTTGCACACCTTTCTTGCGTCCTGCATGAGTGGCCCGGCTTGTGTTCATATTGAAGGGTATTTGTGTGTATTGCCTCATCAATACGACAGGTCCCAAAGCAAAATATCTATACCCCGTTATTAAACGCTGCAGCTCTTAATACGGGTGTTCATATGGAGTCACGTGCGCCTCAAGCTTATGCGCGGCGTATTAGACATTGTTAGTGCTCTACGCAAGGATGGTGGCATCATTTGGCACTAGCTTTGGAAACTAGGTGATTCAGTTTTCAGCACTGACTGGCTGTTTGTTGCCCTGGAAACGTGACCTGCGACAAATACTCATTACATGGTTCCTCTATTCAAGCTCTTAATGAGAAAAATGTGTGCAAGCAGGTTTCTCCTCACTATGAAACTGATTGTGGAGAAGCCAGCGTTGACAACGGAACTTAAGCGAACGTTATCCGAAATCGGTGACGTGATAAATTTCGAGGCACACTTCAAGTACGAAACATGAACTGTCAAACATACTTGTAAACTGTTTTGGGAACTATACTGCTCTATGGCACCTGTACATGGAAATTGAGAGGCCAGTCAGCGTCCAGGTGAACATTGCACCAACAGTGACCTCTCCACTGAACGAAAGTTTGCTGACATCCTTGGTAGCCATACATCGTGGTAGCCATACCTGGTAACAATACATCGTGAGCTGCAGTTTCAATCACGCTTTGATTTTGACCAACTTTACAGATGGGGCAACGTGAGTGGAATGTTAGTGCCGAACAATCTCAGCTCGTTCGCTCGTGACGTTCATTGCCTGAGCTTATGGCTGAAGCTTATTAAACAGAGTATCATGAGTCAAGTACCTTCCGAACACTAAGGCTACACTGCAAGGGATTCCAAGTGAAGGCTGGCACTGGAGTATTAGTCGTCTTAAAAGCTTAATGTAGGCGTTTATTACTCCCTACTATGTTCAGATTATGCTTTACTAATAGAAGAATGGGATACAACAAAACGAATTCGCCAGTGTAAGTGGTGTTTAACGATGTTTTGTGGTGTAGTAATGGTAGCCACAATTTAGGGCACTTGCTATTTACGAATCCATAATTGTTGACTAACCTCAACTTTCGTTTTTCTTTCGCAGCTGTAAACTATACGGACGTCCATTAGCTCGCGATGCGGCAGTCGAAAAGCTGCTGTTTTTTTCTTTGGCAGATGATCCGAAGCAACGTTGAGACAGCATCTATTGTTTACATCGTTCTGTGCCAAGACCTCGATGAGGCTCTCATTTGCGTTGTTTCCGTAGTGTCGCTGTCAGCGCTCGGCGTCTCGAAAAAGGAGTGCACCGTGAAACAAGACGGCACCTTGCCGAAAAGTTCTGGTCGGTGGTGGCCAGTAGCCCAGTTGCGGCTGCACGACGAGTGCGTGGGCTCTGCCATCGACCTCAGTCAAATAGGTGTGTCCATGTGCTCGCACAGCAGGCTCTGGCGTCTCAGAAACTCCTCGTGCACTCCCAGTTTGGTGAAGTTGTTTTTGATGGGGTGCGGTGAGCCCTTCTGTGTGCGGTTCGAAAGCTCGGTGGTCTGGCGCGATGTGCTACTGTTATCTTTGTTACGCAGCAGGCGGTTGGTGGGCGTCGTATGCCAGGACGAGGTGTACTTGAGCATGCGGCGCGTACAAGGGCCCCGCGTGGACAGCAGCATGGACAGGTCGCGCCGGTACTGTTTGGTCAGGATGGCGTAGAGAAACGGGTTGGCGCACGAGTTGAGGGGGTAGAAGAACACGAGAAGAATCTTGGACTTGGGAACGTCAATAAGCGGGTAGCCGGCCACGGCTGTCAGGCCGAAAAAAGCAATGGGAGCCCAGCAGGCGAAGTCGGTGAATACCAGCATAGCCATGCGCTTGGCTACCGACGTGTCCTTGCTGCCGCAGTGGGAGCGTGGTCGCTGGCCTGATATGGCCAGATACATTTTTGCGTAGCAGGCGCATATGAGCAGGAAAGCAAAGCCGTTCATCGATAGGAGGGTGAGAAGGTATAGAAAGTCTACCACCGTGCTGTTCTCCATGGGCAGGCATATGGACGTCTTGCTGTAGCTGCTGATGCCCAAGAGGGGCAGGGAGGCCGCGAGCAGCGCGTAGCCCCAGCCGCACGCCATGATGCGCGCGGCGGTGCGCAGTCGTAGCCTCCTGTTCAGGTGAACGGCGTACGTGATGGCGTACCAGCGCTCCAGGGTGATCACCGTGAGCGTGTAGATTGACAGTTCAGAGGCGAACACCGTGAGGAATCCAGCTACTTTGCATCCGGCGCCTGCGTTCAACAAAGCGTAAAGTGAAAGTGAATGAGCACATGGCACTAAAACACGTACACGTATAGTGCACTACGATTACCACTAAGAATGGTTTAGTCAGTGCCTTTATGAATACAAATTCTAGCATCAAGAGTGCGATATAAGCAGCGTGTTTAACAGAAATAGGAACCTAAATTTTTTGGATACTAAGGGCCCAAGGACGCAATTTCTGAGTAAAAAGGCCGGCGACTGGGCTATTTTCTCGTTGTTTCCCAACGTATTTGTTACACTGAGGTAGCAGTTTCGCTTCGCGATAACGAAACAGCGGTTATTGCTTTATTGGCTAAGTGGAACCAACTTTTCTATTGTTATGCAGACTTCTTGTGAATTATTTGCGTGTCGGTTGTTTATTCTGAGCTGCCTTTTATGCCTTGGCGCAGAAATGGGAGTTGCCTGCTGCATACTGAAACTAGACACCGAAACGGTTTTAACTTTCCTATCTGGCGCTGGCTGAAAAGTGGCTGCGTGCCCGAACTGGAGTATCCAGCATCAGATGAGTCATGCTCAGCGCGAAAAAAGTTTGAAGACTTTACGCTCTTTCGTCTACAAACCAGAACTTTAGCCAATGCTTACTGTTTTGATGTTTTCAGAATACAGGGAGGCCCCTATCATAAAGAAGCGATTACGTTTGGTGCCACGCTGCTACACTGCTGAAGGAATAGTGATGACATGTTGGGAAAAACGTGCGATAGTGGAAGAAATGGTGTGCCGTCAATATTTGTTTCAGTGAGCAGTGACGAAGGAGAGTAGGGGGTGAGTTTTAGAAAGCGACATTTACCACGCACATTTGAGTTGCGCTTAGAAAGCAGGATAGTGGTCGCGTGGTAAGAGCAAGCACGCGTGTCGTCAGCAGTTTAATGGCGTCGTCGATGTATACGTCCCTGGCCGGTTTGGAGGCGCGCCTCCCGACCGGCCGTTCGAGCGTACCATGCTGCCAGAGAATGGCGTGGCTGAAGTACCGGCCGCGCGTGTGCAGGTCCTCGGCGGCGATGAGCAGCAGGTAGGCGCCCATGCAGAGGTCGGCGAAGGCGAGGTTGCACATCAGGAACTTGGAAACGGTGAGACGGCTGCTGAGAAGCACCAACAGCACAGCCAGGTTTCCGAACACCGCGGCAACGACCACGAACCAGACGGCTACGCGCAGCACCATGTTGCCCATAACGTCCTCGCATGGGTTGAACGCGTCCGGCGCTGGAAAGCACTGCACCCGTCGGCTGGCTAGCTTGCCGCACGTCACCTGCGGTGCACAAAACTGCGATGTTTCGCGCCATCTTGGCAGAGCAGAGCCACACCGCCATCTGCTAGCGTGGAGTGGTTATAGCGTACTCGGACGATATTCAGTATGGAAGTTAACTAATGCGCAAAACCAAATCCTCGTTTAATAAACTAGCAAATGATAGGTATTTTTAGGGATTTACTAACTTCTTGAAAATCGTAATATCATCAAAATAGAGGAAAAACAAAGAGGCCACTTTTTACAACAGAGCCGTAAAGGAGATACAGTTAAAAAAGTGTAAGTTCAACCACAATTAAGGCCTTATTCAGCATGCGAAAGTTGTGGGGTCCGACAATTCTTATCGTAGAAACTCGTGGCCTCTGCCTTCGGGAAGTGGACACAGAATGTCTGGAAGCGAAGTAAGAACATGCTTTTAAAACCAATTTTATGTTCTTTATACGGTAGTTTTTGTCTAACAACAATTGAATTAGATTACATCGCCTCTGTCAAAGGTATCCTAGCGCTATCAGACCTCTGAAATGATGCTTGTGCATAAATACCTGTCATATTTGTTTATATGAATTGTTAAGTTTACCACGGGAAAACGTTGGCGGGACGCTATGCTGCGCACCGGACGCGCGAATAAGCGCATTGCATGGACGTGCACATAGACAGGAAAACACTCAAAACCCACCGACTATAGCCAACTGTATATGTCCACCCATCGCAACGTTTTCTTGTCAATGACACCTTGGAAACTCGTGAGGCCAGTGGTACGAATTCTGGCTCTGATAGCAGTCCTGTAGACCCAGCCTTTCGAAGACGCAAGAACATTAAGCGCAGGCGTTAACAGCGCTAACGAAGACAACTTTTAATATGCTGAACCCAGATCATCCAAGGTATACCCATAAGACCACGAGCTGTGTACTTGCCTGCCTGAGGTAACTTTGATTGATATGTGGGGTTTAACGTCCCAAAACCACCATATGATTATGAGAGACGCCGTAGTGGAGGGCTCCGGAAATTTTGACCACCTGGGGTTCTTTAACGTGCACCCAAATCTGAGCACACGGGCCTACAACATTTCCGCCTCCATCGGAAATGCAGCCGCCGCAGCCGGGATTCGAACCCGCGAGCTGCGGGTCAGCAGCCGAGTACCTTAGCCACTAGACCACCACGGCGGGGCGCCTGAGGTAACTTCGCTATGAAGTTCTTTACAAGATTTGCGAGGCCAGGTGTCAACTTTTTGTTTGTAGTGTTTGCCAAGGAGACTTTAAGAGCATAGAAGAACAGAAAGAGGAAGCTTGAGCATGAACGTGGCAGAACTGCCGAAAAACCACTGGATGCTTAAGGGCAGGAAAAAGACAGGGATTGCACTGCACTAGGACTGATATGACACTCTTATTAAAACTGACGAACATTTTGTACTCAGAACTGATGTGAACGTTCAGTTTTCTTTGTCGTCAGGCGCTACTGTGGGGGTACGGAGGATGTTGCAAATTGTGTAGAAGACGAGGAGCGATGTTATCATTTTGGGGGAATTATATCACTGCTAGTAATAAAGAAGAGTTCGAAAGGTGGGCTTCACCATGGGCACAGCGGCTTGTCCTTTTCTCTACAACATGAATCATAGTGTTGATGTTAGACCTATATAGATCATTATGTTATTATTGGTATTCGAGTATTAAAACAGGCAGCCGATATATAAAATAAGTTTAGACAATTAGCACGTAAGTGACGTGGTTCTGGCATCACGCAGTTTAATAATTTATCCTGTATACACGTTGCAAATTCATAGTTTGTACTCCGTCTGCACAGTGACGTAGCTGTGTCGAGTGTGTCGAGAAAGTTTCATTAAACCAGCTCTTGCGCGAGACGTGCGAAGGCAAGAAAGCAAGTCTTATATATATATATATATATATATATATATATATATATATATATATATATATATATATATATATATATATATATATATATATATATATATATATATATATATATATATATATATTGCCACATGGTTTGCTTGGGTGAGATCGAAGAGTGAAAGAGGACAAAGACGATCTCTCTGAGCCGCTGCTTGGCTAGTCGACTAAACGAGCCCATTGTATCAAGTTTGTCGTGAGTAACGTGACAAGACTGGTGGAGGTGCTCAGTACAACGTCTCACGATCCACCCGATGCCCAAGACCCCGTCCAGCAGCCGGAACACAAGCCCTGCACCCGCGGACACTCCTGTTCATAGAGTAAGCGGCCGCCAAGGAGGCCTACCGCCTGAGACACCAACCACTGACGCAGCGACTATGACTTCGACACAAGAGCCCGTGCAAGCTCCGACACCTTCCACGCCGATCTACTGCACCATCCAGAACCCGCTCATGCCTAGCCCCTTTCACGGAGAGCAGCATGAAGATGTTGACGACTGGCTGAGTGAGTTCGAATGTGTCGCAGTGATCAATTACTGGGATGATGCCGCGAAGCTCCGGAACGTGTACACTTGCCTAAAAGACGGTGCCAAGACGTGGTTTTTGAACAGAGATGATGTTCTGAAATCTTGGCGCGAGTTCCAGCGTCGCTTCCTGGAGACCTACAGGAGTCGAGATCGCCGCGAACGGGCGGAGCGTGCACTACAATCACGCATCCAGATGCCCAACGAGACCGTCTCGATGTACGTCGAGGACATGACACGGCTTTTCAAGCGAGCGGATCCTGCTATGGCAGAAAAAAAAAGTTGCGCCACCTCATGCGTGGTGTGAAGGAACAACTTTTTGCTGGTGTAGTGCGTAGTCCCCCCAAAAGTGTTGCTGAGTTCCTTACTGAAGCGGCAACAATGGAGCGAGTACTGCACCAACAGTCTGCTCTGTTTGACCGTCAAGTGAATGCTGCCTCAACTCCCGAAATTTTCGCCACCCCTGGGAGCAAGAGCAACAAATGGATTCGCGAGATCATCCGATCTGTCGTCCGGGAAGAAATGGAAAAGATGTACGGGGCAAGGCAAATTGATGTTGGTTCTATCACCAGTGTCATCCGTGACGAGGTCCAGCAGGTGCTGCACGCCCATCGTTTTCCGCCTACGTCGGTTGATCCGGAAACGGCTCCTGTGTCTACTGAGAGTCGCCGTCGTACGTACGCGGAAGCCTTGCGATCTGCCACTCCTCTTTCTGGTCAAGGAGTCCCGACCGAGCCAGTGCCGCACGTCCCGATCCAGACAATGCCATACGTCCTGATGTCGCGAAACAATGAGTCGCGATTCAGTCAGCGCACGCTGATTTGGACATCAATAGTCGCCGTACACCGACGCGCAAGTCTGATCTCTGGCGTACGCCAGACAGACGACACCTCTGCTATCATTGCGGTGAGGGTGGTCACATTTACCGCAAATGACCATACCGGCAACTTGGACTGCGCGGATTTTCCGTCAATTCCCCTCGTCCCCGAATTGGTCAAAGACCAAGGGATATCGAAGAGTATCTCGCGCAACAGCGTGCACCCTTTACACGACGGCAATCGCGGTCACCATCTCCGAGGAGACCCGCAGCCACTGGGCCACGTTTCGGGGTGACGGCACGGGAACGTTCCCCGAGCCCTCGTCGGGAAAACTGAAGGCAGCGGCCTTCGGGGGGCAAGGTCGCTGGGACTCAAAGTGCGGAAGACCTCCCATCGACGCTTGCACGCAACGCCGAAGGATTTCGTCAGAGAATGATCGCAGTACTTAAGAAACGCCGACATCCACATCTGAACCTAGTAACCGCGTGTCACTCGACATACCTGTGCTGGTTAACGGTCTTCAGGTCAGTGCATTGGTAGACACTGGTGCAGACTATTCGATCATCAGCGGAAAGCTAGCGAAAGATCTCAGGAAAGTGATCACGCCATGGAATGGAACGCGAATTCGAACAGCTGGAGGACACGTTGTAACACCGCTGGGTCGCTGTACCGCAAGAGTGAAAATTCGTGCGTCAACGTTTGTGCTCAGCTGCCTCGTTCTTCGCGACTGTTCACGTCAGCTGATTATCGGCATGGACTTCCTTCGGGAATACGGTGCCATCATAAATCTCCGTGAGCGCATCGTGACCTTCTCGACTTAAGGCGCAACAGATCGAGACGCTGATAACTGCCGTAGACCTGCGCTGCGTGTTGCTGACGACCGTGTGACGCTACCACCTCGAGCAACTGTTGCCATCGAAGTCACTTGTGAAGAATTTCAAGACGGCGACGTGGTGGCTGAAAGCAACCTATCACTTCTGCTGCTCCAAGGCGTATGCGCCGTCCGAAGTGTTGTGCGCGTCCGTGACGGACAGTCAACGATACTAGTTACGAACTTCAATTACGAGCACCGGCATCTTTTTCGCGGAACCACCCTAGCTTATGGAGACCCTGTTGCCGACGTCACAGAGTGCTTCGCGTCCGAGGAAACGCATGAGGATGAGGAATTTCTAGACCGCATCGACATTAATTCGACGCTGTCAGACGAGAGAACGGCTGCACTTCATGACCTTTTAAGGGAGTTTCGATCTTGCTTCGCCTCTTCGTCTAAAGTCCGTCAAACACACCTCACGAAGCATCGAATTATTACCGACGATGACGTCCACCCCATCCGGCAGCAGCCTTATCGCGTTTCTGCCAAAGAACGCGAGGCTATTCAGACACAAGTAAAAGAGATGCTCGATGACGGGATTATTCAACCATCCAGCAGCGCTTGGTCCTCGCCAGTCGTTCTAGTAAAGAAAAAAGACGGAACACTGCGATTCTGTATTGACTACAGGAAGCTTAATAGCGCCACAAAAAAGGACGTCTACCCGCTTCCACGGGTCGACGACTCCCTCGACAGGTTACGACGCGCGAAGTATTTTTCGTCGATCGACCTAAAGAGTGGCTATTGGCAAATTGAAGTGGATGAACGAGACCGAGAAAAAAACCGCGTTTGTGACTCCAGACGGACTTTACGAATTCCGAGTTCTTCCCTTCGGCCTCTGTTCCGCACCAGCCACTTTTCAGAGGATGATGGACACAGTTCTC